TGCCCGGCGTGAGCAGGACCGTCGACCCTCTTTGCTTCCTGCGGACCCATAATCCACAGAGACCCCTTCCCCCCAGGCGCTGGAGGCCGGTCCCCTCGCCTGCACCTGGGGCCACACCCAGTGCCTGGAACCGAGCCCGTGCCCCATGTGACTGGGACATAGGGGTTGCGCTGTCACCGCTGGGAGCACTTCCATGGGAGGACAGCCCCCACCCAAGCACCTGGGGTGCGATATGCCCCCTCACCCCGCCTTCTGCACAGGACACCCTAGTGAGCTGATGGTTGGGCCCAGTGAAGACAGTTCATTTTATCTTGTCACAGTGAGCTGTGGGGACCCCTGTGGGTTCTCCCCACCACTGGAGCCTGTGACACCCCCACCCCTGCAGCCTCAGAGAAGCATCTGGGCTGAGCCTGACCCTGGCCAGTGGCCGGAAGCCCCCTCCGTGGCAGCCCTGATGCTGCGGGCTCTGGCCGGGTGCTTTTTCCAGAACCGGCGCCCTGCTGGCCCCTGTGGTGTTCACAGTCTGGTCCTGAGCCCCATCTTTTTCCTGTCCCCTCTGTCCTCCTGTCCCCAGCCTCGGCATGGCTCTCCTCCATTCGAGCACTCGGTGACTCGGGGACCATCTGACTCACTTGGTTTCTGAGTCACTCGCAGTTCAGATCATGAATGCTCTGCCTGCTCTGTGGACACAGGAAATGCAGAAGCATCAGCTAGGTGACATCTGTGGGATGTGGCAAGGGTCACACATCAGGTGGGGGTGGGGCTAGGCAGGAGCTTGGTTAAGGTGCCATGTGCCCCCAAATGCCACATCCACAACACACACTCTCCACCGGCCAGTCAGGGACCCTCCACGACCCTCCGCCCCTCACTGTGACCCCTCACTTCGAGCTCTGGGCCCCAAGCCTGGCCACCATGGGCTGTCCCGGCCCCTCCCTCTGGGCCCGCCCCTCCCAGGCTCGCGTGGCCTGTCCTGTGCTCACCAGGGAGGGCTGGTGGCTGCTTCGTGCCTCCTGCTTTCTAGATCTCAGTCTGCCCCCCCGTTTGGGTGTCTGAAACGTAGGCCGGGCCCTGGCGGGTGCTGACAGCACGCTGACCCCCGCCTGGGCATCCCAGCGGGCCGGTCTCCAGGCCGTCCCACCTGACGCGTCCGCTGCGTCCGGCCTCCTGCGTGCGCGTCAGTCTCTGATGGGAGCGTTGTAGCTCAGGGCTGGGCGAACGGAAGTAAAGCCCCCGACAGTGGAACCTTCCGGAACCTGGCAGCGCATCCGCATGAGTTCGCTAGGGCCACTGTAACAAAGCACAAGACGAGCGACGATGGAAACATGGAAACACAGCGTCGCACGTTCCAGAGCCGCAGGGCTGAGACCCCGAGCCGTGGGGCCACGCGCCTTCAGGGCTGGGGGGGGGTCCTTCCCGCCTCTTCCGGCCCCAGGGTCTCGGCCACCCTGTGGCCTCTGCTTGAGGCCACATCCGTCTCTGCCTGTCCTCACATGGTCTCCTCACACAGACACCAGGCAGAGGGCTGGGGCCGCCCTATTCTTGTGTGCCACATCGTGCCTTGAGCCACCTGCGAAGACCCTGTCACGTCTGCAGGGTCAAGGTGACATGAATGGGGGGCCATCCGACCCAGCGTGCTGCCTCACGCGGCCCTGCTGCGGCCCTTCCCCTCACACTCGCCATCCACATGCCCCTGCCTTACACACTCACTGTCCCCACCCCCTTTCCTTACACACTCACTGTCCCCACCCCCTTTCCTTACACACTCACTGTCCCCACCCCCTTGCCTTACACACTCACTGTCCCCATTCGTGCAAACTGCTGCTTTACTCAAGTCGATTGACTTTCCAAGAATTCCTGGACTGCCCATCATGCCTCTGACCTTGCTTTATGGTTTTATGGTCACGGATCCCCTGTCCTGTGGAATCTGGCCAGGGTCCCCTCCGCGTCGCCTCGCTGCAGTCCCCGTAACAGTGGGGCACAGAGGCCAGCCTCACCCTGCCTGCACCTCTGTGCCCCCCACCGCCTGTGGGCCCCCTTCCCAGCGCCTGGGCTGGCTCCGGCCCCACGTGGCGAGCAGCCTCTGCCCAGCTGTGTCTGCGGCTCCTTGTCTCGCACACACCCTCAGAGTCCACCCTGGCGTCCCGGGCATGTGCCCTCCGCCTGGTGCTCTCTCCGCGCGTGGGGACCCTGGGCTCACACCCTGTGTCCTCGGGAAGCCCTCTGCGGTCCTCCCCTTGAGAAGGTGCCAAGGAAGAAGTCTCTCCTGCGGACCCCAGCCTGGGGCCCCCACTGCCAGCTGCTCCCCGAACAGGTGGCGTCATTGCTGGGGTTCGCTTCCCCTGTCCCCGCGGAGGCGGCGCGCCATCCTCCTTAACACGGAGCTCCGGGTCAGCAGAGCAGCCTTGCCACGCAGCCTGCTCAGCACACGCGCTAGACCGGCAGCGAGGAAGACACGCGTGCGGGACCGGGGCCTGACCCCGCACTTACGGACGGGGACGACGAGCCCGCCAGCGAGACGACGGAAAACGACAGTCCCCACACACTCTAGGAAGATCCGGACCAGGCGACAGTCCCCGCACACTCTAGGAAGATCCGGACCAGGCGCGCGCCTTTAGGGTTCGAGATGATGTCCAGATTTTTTATTCAAACGATGACAGTATGACCAACGAGCTGACCGAAGGGACATCTAACCTTAAGGAGACCTGCGTTCTGAGTCTAGTTCCTTTTCTGTCTGTACATCGGACATGCGTGTCGTCCAAACAGGAGCAGGGACCAGGGTCGTCACCCTTCGTAGTTACGCCTCTCCCTGCCTCGTCCTTGCTCACCCACGGGCAGGGAGCGCCAGGCCCCCAGCCTTGCTACCTGGCCTGAGCCAAGGTGGCCGGGAGCCAGCGCCACGCGCACGCACTTCACTGTGCTTCAGCTAAGACTGACCCGGTCACTGCTGTGCACACCCACCTCCGGGTGCCCGGCGCCCCGCCCAGAGCCAGCCTGGGTGGCCGGCTCGCCCCTCCCGCTGTGCACCCTGTCTCTGCCAGTCCCACCCTCTGTGCACCCCTTCCCTTTGTGCACCCCATCCCTCTGAGAAGCCCTCCTTGTGCACCCTGTCTCTGCCCGTCTTTCTGTGCACCCCCTCCCTCCATGCACCCCCGTGCACCCCTCTCTTTGCCCACCCTGTCCCTCTGAGAACCCCTGCCTCGGTGCATCCCCTCTGTGCGCCCTGCCCTCTGCTTCCTCTGCTTCCGCATCCCCCCGTCTGTGCCCATCCCATCCCGGGCCCCTCTGCCTGTACAGCGCCGTGGCCTTGGTGGCAGGTGACCACCGGGAGGGTCAGGGGGCCAGGCTGTTGCTGCTGCTTCTGCTTCCTGGTCTTTATTCTGCACGAGCCCCGTTGGGGTGTGTGGGGGGGGGCAGGTCAGGCTGCTTGGTCAGCTGAGTTCGTGGCAGCTGGTTACGGGGTTCGGGTTGCTAGGGGAGTAAGTGCCAGGTGGACTGGTCCGGGTCTGGTGACCACACGGAGAGGCCGACCTGCGGGGCCCGGACTGAGCAAAACAGGAAGGTTGCGGACGCCAACGAGCCGCGCCAAACCCGCCGCTCGGCCGCCTGGCCGCGCGAGCTGAAACGTGTCGCTTCCTCTCGGATTAAGTGGTTTTTTTTTGTGAACGATAAATTAATTCATCTGTGTAGTGACTTCACCCGTCACAGACCAGGTCCCTGCGCCTCCTGGCTCTGCGCCCCTGCCCGGACCCGGGTTTGGGGGCGCTGTCGCTCGGCCGCCGCGCGGGGTCCTCCAAGCGCAGCTCGCGTCCTCCGTCCTAAGTAGGAAGAGCCAGTGTCGCCCGTTTATTTATAGCACTTCGCGCAGACAGGAAAAGCCAGCGCTGCGCTCCCCTCCGGCCGCCGCCTGCGGCCCGCGGGCGACGTCAGCAGAAGGGGCTGGAAGCGGCCCCGGTGCCAGGTGCGCCGAGCGAATGCGCGCGGAGGGCCGGTGACGTCACGCCTTCGAGGG